GCATTGGCAGGCGGACTCTCAACCACTGCGCCACCAGGGAAGCCTGATAACATCTTCTTTTTTTTTTTAATCCTATGGCACATCTATGAGATGCCCCCCTCCTCCATTGCTCTAGTTCCTCTGTTTTGCCATGTGCTTCCTCTGACTGCCTCTCCAAATTCAGATCACCTCCACAAGGAGACCTTCCCCAAGCATCCTAGCCAAGGTAGCTCCCTGACTTCAATCACTCCTTATCACACCACCCTGGTTTATTTTCTTAGTAGCATTTATAATGATCTGGAATTACTCTGCTCACCTATTTCTTGTCTATCTCCTTCCCCATGCAGAACAGTGCCTGGCACATAATAGGCACTCGAAAATATGTATTGAATGCATTGAAGGAATGGAGGAAGACCATATGTTATTGTTAGTCTAATGGTTTTGGAGAATAATTAAATATATTTGATTTAAGAGGAATCATTTTTGCTAAATTTCCCTTGGTTTGTGTTTATGTTACCCTCTGTAGTGGCTGTGTTCGTTTCAGATATACGGGGATAACAGTGTCCATTATGGGCTAGAATACATGTTAAGGCAAGTCTCGTTGGTTGCCTTCTGGAGGATTTATAAGAGAGAGGAGCAGAAAAACTGCCATACAAAATGGGTACAAAAGGGATGAATCAAGTTGCACTTATGTGAATGTACTTAGTGCCACTGAACTGTACACTTAAACATGGTTAAAATGGTATAAATTTTATGTTGTATATATTTTACTATAATTTTTAAAAATTGGGGAAAAATAGGGACTTCCCTGGCAGTTCAGTGGTTAGGAATGGGTGCTTTCACTGAAGGGGCCTGGGTTCAATCCCTAGTGGGGGAACTAAGATCCCGCAAGCCGTGCAGCATATCCAAAAAAAAAAAAAAAAAAAAAAAAGGGGAAAAAAAAAGGACTTCCCAAACTTACATTAAAACTCAGGTGTAGATGATTAGCTTCAGGGCGAATGCTTTATTTACCAATACAGGTCCCTTTTCATGGATCCACCGCATACGTCTGCTAATGTCCTCTTAGTCTAGTGGCCTGTCAGGGCTTCCTTCCACGACCTTATTCTCCTCACTCTCTTTTGTTTATCTGACTGCTCTTTCTCCGGCCTGTCTCCTCACACTCCGTATGTCCCCGACCACCTATCCTTTGCCGACTCTCTTTCTGTGTACTGTTACCTGACAGTCACCTCCCTTCAATCTTTACCACTAAACAGATCACTCTTAAAACTCTGTCCAGCCTTGGTATCTTCCAGAGCCCTAGTTGTGCATTTCATTAGCCAGCTAGATATCTTCAAGTAGTATCTGTGTGAGTAATCTACTGCTGTGTAACATATTACCCCAAACTTAGTGGCTTAAATAATAGACACTTATTATCTCACAGTTTCTGGGCATTAAGAATTCAGAGTGAGGGGTGTTGAGGACCATCTTGGAAGCTAGCTAACACAATTGTACCCCATAGTAGAAATTTCTCACTTTTCTAAGCAGATCCAGGTCACCCACTCTGTGCTGCTGTGTGTTAATGACACCAGTATTTTTATGATATCCAGGCTCAAAACCTTGGGGTCATCGGTGAATTTTTTCTCTCTCCCCATCCAATTACTTGCTAAATGCGGTTGACTCTTTCTCTCCCTTGAATTTGTTTCATTCCTTTTGTCAGTGGCCTGGGCTACTTGGATCACTTCAGTACCTTTCTCGTGGCTCCAGCTCTCATGTAACAAAATCTTGGGAATTCTCCCCCCAGGCTCCCAAACCTTCACTGGGACAGAAGTCATAGAGGAAAAGATGGCTAGATGCATCGTCATCTTTGACTACACTAAAATATAAAACTTCTGAATGACGGAAAACCATCATGAATAAATGGAAAGAAAACTGACAGAATGCCCAAAATACTTGCAAGTGTTGACTAAAGTGTGCTAGCTTTTTTTTTGGCCACGCGGTGCAGCATGTGGGATCTCAGTTCCTCCAACAGGGGTCAAACCCAGGCCCTTGGCAGTGAGAGCATGGAGTCCTAACCACTGGACTGCCAGGGAATTCCCTGTGCTAGCCTTTTATAAATCTTAAAAAGAAAAAAAATTATAACAGAAGTCATCATATACAAATTTCAAACTCGTTAGAAAACTAAGAAAAGTAAAATAAATCTATTGATTTTATATCACTTTTTGCTGATACAACTGGAAAGGATTGAAAAGAATATAAAAGTGGAGGAAGCGGGCACTCTCTTGCTCTGCTGATAGGAAGGTAAATCATCCTGAGGGAAATTTATCAATATGTATCAAAGCCTTAGAAGGATCCATGCCCTGTTTGTATTATTGATGAGGAGTAAGGTCCGAAATACGTTGTAAAGATGAAAAAAAATCAGGCCACAAAAAGTTATGGGTATATATGTATGTACTGTTAATGTCACACACACACACACACACACACACACACACACACCCACACACACATGCACACACAACATTAACAGTGGTTATTGCTGATTGGTGGGATTTCACCTCTATCATTTCTTTCTGCATGGTCAGAATTTTTAATATGAAGCATATATTATGTTTTTAAAATTAAGATTTGTATTATTTGTATAAGCAGAAAAAGCTATCTTCATCTTAAAAAAGAAAAGAAAAAAAATGTATGCATCCTAGGATCTGGTAGTTCTCCTTCTGGGATTGTATTCCAAGGAAATACCCAGAAATGTGCAGACAGTCAGCAAACAACCTAAATGTCCAACAGTTGGGGATTGGTTAAGTAATTTGTGAAAGACTAAGCTGTTCATCAAAAGCATGTTGTAGTCAAAGTATTGACATGAGAAGTATCATAACTTTTGCTAATTAAGAAAATAGTACGTGTAGAATGATGCAATCTTTGTAAAAATATATGCATTATCTCTCTGTATAGGTATGTATATTCCCACACATATCTGCCCATACATATAGGAAAGACCTACTTACTACATTATTATCGAGGTGGAATGTGGGATTATGAGTAATTTTTGCCTTTTGTGCTTTTATATCATTTCCCTCTTCAGATTAGTTTTGACACCCCTCTCTGATTTGTTCCCAAATTCCATTTTCAACCTCCCCTCACATACTCTTCCTTTTTGCCACATGCAGATCCTTTGCACCGCAGCCTCTGTGCTCACCCGAGGGGCTCTTTCTTCCCAAAAGGTCTTTGCCTGCCCATCCAAGCATCAAGATCCCACTTGTTCAGGGCTGAGACTCAGTACACCTTGTAGAACCTTGCAAATCTGAGTAACCTCTCTTTCTCTGGAAACTCCATAGCTTTTTATCCGTACTGCTGTTATGGTACTGATTGCTGTCTACTTTGCTGTGCTTTAGCTGTTTATTTTGTGCCTTCTCCTCCTTATTAAACTGTATATTCTGTGCAGGCAGAATCCAGGTCTTTTGCATCTTGGTATTCCACACAGCAGCTAAGAATTCTTTGCACCAGTAGCGGGTCAGTAAATTCTTATTGGATAAATAATTCGATGTATAGATACTTTCAGGCCTTCTAGCTCTGTTGTTAAGCTGGTACATATTTAGGAATTATAAAACCATTTAAATTCTAAGTAAAGAAAAAATTATGTGGGAGGTAAATCCTCTATAAAAATATATATTAATGCATTTCATAGAGTCTCTCCCATTCTTTAGTATAGATAATAAAAAGCTGACTGTATATTTCTCATAGAGCAGTGAATTTTTTCATCTTTTACTTCATGAACCACCCTAGTCCCCATGCCATAAATAAGTAGAATTTCTATTGGGCCTCGTTATTGTTGCTTTCCCATATCTCTCTGTGTCACCAGATTTGCCTAACAACATTTGTGTCACAGTATTAACATTTATTACTTATTTTTTTCTTTCTACTCTAATGTACTTTTTCATTACTTCTTATCTAGAGAAATTTACATTTCTTCTCAGCTCTCCAGCACCTCTCCACGAAGCGAACTCTAGACCCCAGAACTTAAATTGCTTATTTTCTTACAGGTACCAAAAAGCTCTATATTTTCTCTCATCATCCTACAATTATCAAGCATATTCTTTTATTTCTTGCCTTCAAAAATGCATTGTATCTTGATGATAAAAACTAAAATGTTCATTGAAGAAATTTTGAAAAAAACTGTAGGGA